ACGAAAGTCGAAGACTTCAGTGAAAGATGCGAGAAGAAAAAGGAGTGGTTGGTTTGGGTTAGGTTTGTTGTGTCGTTGGTAGGGGTGAGTTTTAAAGCTGAGGAGAGTAGTATAGGCATACTATCCACCCCTTTCTCCTCCCTCATCCACATTCTCTCTCACTCTATATCTTTCTCTTTCATTTTATTTCTATTTTTCTCGTTTGGTTCAATTTTACCACTTACATACACATAGACACACACACACACACACACATACACACACAAGTCTACGTAAGACGTTCCAAATGGTTGATACACCTTGTTCGTTAGTTTCACCAACATCAATTAGTATCGTAAGACGTGACCTTCTTTTTACTTCACCTCCTTTTCTTCTTTACTACTACTACTACTACTACTACTACTATTACTAGTAGTTTTATTCATTCTATTCATTCTTCTATAAGTCTACTATTTCTCTTTCTCATTCTGTCTCGATATTAGAACGTTTTAGAAATATTTGGATATGTATATATCATATGTACTTATCTTTCTTGTGTTTGTATTAGAAATTGCAACTACTTGTGAGTCTTCTCTCTTTATCTTTTTGTTTCACTTACATTTTCTATCTTTGTCCTACTTGTACCTTCTCAGGGATAGTTATTATCATCCATTTGCTAATACAACAAGATAAATTGCTTTTCTTCCATGTTACTTATCCCTTATCCTATTCTACCATTTTCCTATTTCTCTCTCCCTCTCTATCTCTATCTTTAAAATATATACGTGTGTATAATTTGAAATATTTATTATTTTAAAATTACAATTTGGTTTTTTTTTTTTATTTTACCTATTTTCTATTACATATCATTATTTATCGTGACGTTATTTTTAAATATTCATTATTAATAAGGTATAAAATAAAATTTAAGAAAAAAATATATTAAAATATAAAATTTAATTAACAAAAATATTAATAAAATAAATTCAAATTAAATTTCCAAATTTTCTAATAAGAAATAATCTAATAACATTAATTATATTACAGAATTATATTGCAAAAAAGATAATTGAATATTTATTAATTTTAGATATCATCTGACGTTCCTAATCTTATTTCAAGATTTACAAAATTATTGTCTTCTTTTATATTATTATATTTTCTTTATTCCCCTCTTCAATTTTTCAAGTTTCATAGATATTATTACACGTGTACCTGTATTTATTACATACGAACATTTACATTCATACATAAATATACAATCACGTGCATGTTACGTGAGACTTTTAAATCGATCAAACACATTTTTTTTCTTTCTAACAACATATATATATTTTTTTTATTCATGTTACATATCGTTCCATCCCCTTATAATATATTTATTTATTTTCTTCTTTCTTTCTTTCTTTTTTATCACAAATCCATCATCGAGTGGGAGTGAAATCGAACAACGATGTGATCCTTATCGATTTCCAAGAAGATTGTTTTTAACAAAAAAAAAACCCCCCGAAGGAGGAGAAAATATATGGATATAAGGATTCATAGTTAAGAGTTAAAAGGGCCATGGTATGGTTAAAAGGGTTCTCAAAGTAGGGCGGAGGGTAGGTAAAGGGGGAATGGAAACTGGAAGGAAAAACGTGTAGCCAATCATCAAAGTTGCGTGACCGTGGCGATAAAAACGTTCTTATCGATCCGCTTTCAGTATTTATGTAAACACTAATGTAAAAGTACATATATGGGTTGAGGGGTGAGGGGGGGGTGGGGAAGGTGGTTAGAAAGAGAGAGAASAGAACGTGTCCGGCAACTCTCTCTCTCTCTCACTCTCTCTCACACAGTTTTTCTTTTATTTATTCCCTTTACTCATTCTCTTTTCAATCTTCCCTCCTTACATCACACAACACACACGAATACAAACAAAGTCCAACACACAAAGGTGTTCATGCGACAAGCACGAGTTTTTCGTTTACAGTTGCGATGCGAAAAACGCGCGTCTTTATTCATAAACGCAAATCCAGTACGACCTGATTTTTCTCCAACGTTTATTCTCTATCTCTTTCTCTTTCTCTTACCATCCCTTGTTCCCCTTCTACATCCCCCTTTTTTTCGAATCTTTTACCTCGTACGAGTTAACCGACGACGACGAGTTAAAACACTGTTGTATTACCGACTTTATGTTTCATATATGTATTCGTATATTTCTGTGAGTGTGTGTTCATGTGTGTATATTTGTATATATGAGAAGATGGGCGTGTAGTTGTGTGTAGTTTCTGGAAAATACATCGTTTTACCTCGTTTCGTGACTTCTCTCTCTTTCTCTCTTTCTGTGTAACAGGGCCGTACCCGACATCCGTCCTCCTATCGATTATCAGGATAATTAATGTACAGCTAGATATCGTTTTACATGCTGGGAGAAACGAGCTACGTTCCGGCCAATTCCTATCTATCTATTCTCCTTCTCGATTTTGCATTACGATCTATGGATTTTACGTATCTATTACATGTGTGTATTATATATCTACATATATGTACATTTCTGTATGTATGTATGTGTGTGTCATGTATGTAGATGGATAACTGTATATACACGTGTGTATATTTGTATATGTTACATGTTACATATGTTATTCCTGGGTCGAGATTACGGATAAAATTTTAAGCATGTTCCCTACCTATGGTTTATAATATATATATATATGTATGTGTATGTATATGTATATGTATACTTAGAAATGGGAAATGGTATAGTATAGCCCTTCATGGAAATTCTATAGTGAAGATTTGGTTTCCGTAATCTCAGGGAAGGATCCCTTCTGCTTTCCCTCTTTCTCTCTAATTCTCTTTCTCTTTTTACGAATAAGATACTAACGTTGTTGAATTATTCGAATTAGTAATATTATCGATAAGGTTTCAATTACTATCTTTAATTATTATATTTAATAATCTTCTATACTTGGGTATTTTTTTTATTCAGGAATGTGTTCATAGGAATGTGATTAACATATATTTATTCATTTTATTTTTTTTTTATTATGTATTATTAATTAGGAAATATTTGATGTAATCAATAAATAAAGAATTTTTTTCTTATTATTCGAATGATAAATATTTATCGAGTTTATTTTATAAATAATATTAAAGATTTGTACATATAAATCATAGAAGCTTTCACTATTTTCCTTTTTTTTATTCTTTTTCTCTTTCTCATTACATAAAGTCCCTTGAGACTTGGATAAAGGAGAGAAAATATACATGTACAGATAGCAATACATATACATATATAAAGTAAAGGGGTAAAAACAAACTACCCTGGTATAGACGTAAATGTTGCTAGTAAAGTCATAAACTGTAGATAGTAATACCACTGACATCATTCGCGTTTGTACACCCCATATACATATGAATGTTATACACTTGAAATGAACTAAAGAAGAAAAAAAAAAATAGAAAAAGAAGAAGTAGACAAAATAGATAATATAGGGTTAATTTTAAAACCCGACAAATTATATATTACAATGAAAAGATGTAACAAATATATAGCGTACAAAATATTTATCATTGTTTTAATTAAATATAAAAACAAGTATCGTTAACTTCATCATTCATCAAACTATAACAGAAACTATTACAAATTATAAATAAATAAAATAATAAGTATATTGGTTGCTTTCATTCACATGCACAATATTAATTTTACTATAAATTTATATTATTTATATATATATATATATATATATATATATATAAAATAATAATGATATATATATTTATACAATTTATATATAAAAATAATTGTTAATTCTTAAACAAAGTAAAAAAAACAGATTTGGGTCTGAAGGAGTTGTCAATGTATTTTAATATCCTTAAATAATAGTTTCATTTGTTAAAGATCAAATTGTTCTATTACAATAATTGTTTTTATCGTTTAGTTTGTTCGTTCGTTTGATCAACTTAAAATCTCATGTATTTCAGTTTGGATATTTGGGAAGGCCATTATTCGAAGCGATTAAACGTACCGAACGAAATAAAGCTTCCGATAATATACAAGAGTGAACGAAACCGAGTGAATGAATGAATGTGTACGAGAGAGAGATAGAGATACATTTTACTGCGTCCACTTGACCGGTGCAAATACATTCTTTGGCGTTTATATCCCCATTGGGTATCGAGATCGCATGGTCAAACGCGTAATCGTTCGTGCGGAGAGCTAGATAAATACTATTACGATTTTCGATCATGATTCACGGCAAGTTTGTGTGTGAAAGATAGAGAGAGAGAGAGAGAGAGAGAGAGAGAGAGAGAAAGAGAGAAACAAATAGATAAATAGATAGAATTAAGTATTTAAAATAACATTGTCAAGTATATAAAATCAAATTATCTTTAATCTTTTTATCAACACAAAGTATATTTTGTATTACGAATTAGGTGAAACAAATTTTATGTAACATGTAATAATAATTATTATTATTAACAAAAATTAAATTGATTAAAATCAAAGTACAAAGATAAAATTTATAAAAATAAAATTAAAAAAAAAAAAAAAACAATAGAACAAAAATAACATTTGTGTATGTTCGAAAAATGTTCAATTAAATATTATTAAATTTAATTATTAAATTAAATTATTTATTAATTATTTATTAATAAATACATCTTATCATTATAGCTTTTATCATTTTAACTTCAAAAAAAAAAAATAATAATATTGATTTATATTCATACGTGTAAGATTTCTTCTCTCTCTTTCTCATTTGTCCTCATTCGTACATCCCTTTGGAATACAAAAAAAAAAAAAATCGTTTAACCTTGACACTTATTCACGTTCCTTTTTATTTTTATTTTTTTTTTATTTTCCTCATGAATAAAATAATAACGAGATTGAACTTTAAAAAAATGAAAAAAAGGTTGTAAAAGAAAGGGGGGAAACAACATATTTGTATCATTGTTTTCATACGTTTAAAAAAAAAAAAAAAAAAAAAGAAAAGTGTAGTAACATTTGTTTTTGTTTTTTTTTTTGTTTACAGGTGAGTGTCCCGGAATTCCAGTACGCTCGAGGGACGAGCGCGTCCCTGATGATGGTAAGCCATAAAGCAAAAATGTACCCATTTTACACGGCTCTACCACCATCCACGATAATATAAATAATATGATATCGTTCACGATACATTTTTTATATTTATATATACATATTAATTATTTTAATTATTATATATAATTTCGTGACATTTTTTGTTTTCGCATAAATCAAATGATGAAGAATTTACATATCATTGAAAAATAAGAACAACATTTTATATGAATACAAATCAATTAAACAATTTGATCAAAAATTTACAAATTAAATGTTTTGTTTGCAAATTAAAGGTTTTTGTTTTATACGAATAATTAATTGACACCATTTGTATCGTTTATAACACAATTCGAACATCTTACGAATTTTTATAAATATTTGCAAATTTTATTTATTAATTATCCTGTACAAAATTTTTTTTTTTTAATTTTCTTAATAAATAACAAATCTATTTACGCGAATAATTAATTGACACCATTTGCAATATATAAATTGTTTTTATAACACGGCTAATAATATCTTAGGAAATTTTATAAATTTTTGCAAATATTAATTAACCTAACGTGTTGGTTATATAAAATTTTTATTTAAATTTTCTTAATATATTTAATAATAAATGAAAAATCTAACAAATTGAGAAATTGTCAGGGGTTCCTAGGGGTTTCTAGAAAAAGTATACGTAAAATCATTTTCACAATAATTATACAACATACTTTAAATTTACAATTAAAAAATCATCTTCAATAGCATCACAGCATTTAAACAATTTTACAATTTAAGTTATAAATTTTTTACATAATTGTTTATACATATATATATATATACTACTACACACGAATAAAAAATGTTTAGAATTCGTATTGAAATTCGACTAGATTTTTCGAGCATGTATTTACCATAATAAAATCGGCAATAGTAAGAAGGGCATATAACGGGTGATAAAAAGCTTGAGGGATGGGGGTGTAGGGAGGTGAACCCTCTAAGAAGGTGAATATCGATATATGTGTTCGATGGTGACTCTTGTTCGATTTTTAGGACTGACTCCTCCTTCTTACGTCATTGTCGGCTTTGCTTCGAGTAAACGGGGTAATATCCCATGGGAGACAGTGACGAATGTGTTTGTATATCGTTGGACGCGTAGGGTGTACAAGTCCTCCCCCTTCTCACCCTCCTACTCATCTTATTCGTCTTTCATCCCTTCTCCGAACTCCCAACTCCCACTTTTTTCCTTTTTTTTTTCTTTTTCGTATAACCTTCTTCTTCTTCTTCTTCTTCTTCTTCTATCCACACACAACAATCACACACATACATCTACAAAATGTACACAAAAGTGAGAGGAAAAGGTTGAAAAGTCCAGGCTAGTCGAAAAATTCAATCCTTATTGGTTCTTCTTTTTTTTTTACAAGAATAGTAGTTGTTGGTGTTGGTAGTAGTGGTCTTGGTGTCATCCCTTTAGCTTTAAAAACGTGTCGAGATATTTTTGAAAGCGAACTTTGGGAGAAGGGGTGGATTTGAACACGAGGGTTAGGTGTGAATATGTGTATGTATTTGTGTGTGTATTTGAGGAAACAGGACGAACGTTTTCTTCTCATGGCACAGATGGAAAACAAAGAATGGTGGTAGTGGTGTTGTAGAGGGTGAGAAAAAGAAGAAGAAGAAAGGTGGCAGGGGGGTAGGGAGAAAGGAGGAAGGAAGGATGCTTGTTCGATTCTTTACCGTCTGCATCACCTTCAGTATTTGTTAGCTTTTTCCCGTCTACCACCTATTCTACACCCTCGTGTATTTTTTTTTCTCTTTTTTTTTTTTTTTTTTTAATCTCGTTTTTGCTTATCCTTTTTTCGAAAATAAAGTTTTCTTCTTTATACGTTCCTTTTTTCTTTTTTTTTAAGATTTATTTATTCTTTTTGTTTTACTTCTTTTTTTTTTTTTTAAATTGTAGATGAGACACCGTTTTTTTATTTTTACGTGGGATATTTAAAAATAAAATAAATATAACTTATTATTAATTTTTTTTTTGGCATACTTAAAATAGTAAATGTGATAAAATTGAATCAACATTAATAATCTACATTAAAACAAAGTGAGTTTCTTTTATTTTATTTTATTTTTTTTTTGTTTTTAATTAGAGATGAGACACCTTTTTTTATTTTAAAGAGGAATATTTGAAACAAAAATTAAATAAATACAGAGTGTGTTTTAATTTTGTTTGCATATCTGAAGTATTGTAGTTAATCTGATCAAATTGAATCAACATTAATTTACATTAAAACAAAGTGAGTTTTTTTTTACTTAAAATAAAAATCAATCATATAATTTTGTATTATAAATATGTTTATTAAAAATAAATAACGTTATAGAAAGATTCTAGTTGATATTTTTAAAAATATCACGTCATATATATATACATAATCTTTTAACGATAGCAGCATGCGTTTATTCTCTTTGAATGAACTAAGTAGTACGAAAGAGAGAAAGAGAAAGAGAGAGAGAGAGAGAGAGAGAGAGAGGGAGAGGATGGAATGAGAAACAGGGTGAAAGATCGAGTCCTCTCCTTGCTCTTTGTTCAACCCCCTCTGGCAATTGTTTTCCCTCGACCCATTATCTTAACCGAGGTAGAAGATGAAATGACGAGCTACGTAGAAGATGAAGGAGAAAGAGGTGGGGGGGGGGAAAGGTGGGGGTGGTAGAAAACGTCCGGAAATTTTCGGCGAGAAAATACGCCATACTCTCTTCTCCACCTCCTCATCCCTCTCCCCCTTCCTTCTTTCTCAGTTGATATCAGCAACGTTTGTTCTTTGATGTCGAGCTTATATCGTGTCAGAGAACAGCGAGAACTTCGAGAAAGAAACGATAAGGTGAATAAGAAGATTTTGGTGGGAAAAGGGGGATGCAGTGAGTGCATAAGGGGTGGGAAGGTACAGAGAGATAGGCTGATAGAAAATGAAAAACGTCAAAGAAATAAAAAAAGAGAGATGATGATAATACTCGTTGAATAGTTTCGAACAAGAAACAAGAAACTTAAAATTGATTTATTTACCATACATGCTAAATTTCATATATAATTTTCATGTGACAAGATTCAGAAAGAAGATTATAATACATTACTTCCATTTATGTTGGTAGACAAACGTATAATAGCACTGGAAACTTTTACCAAACGCATATATGCGTTCATACAACTCAAAGAGTTAATTGATAGAACTATAGATATTAAACCATTAGATGTATCATTCAATTCAATTAGAAAATCCTATACATATATATTTTTACTGATTAAATTTTGACAGTCGACTTTCAGAACCTATGGCCCACACACACACACACACACACACACACACACACAAACGTACCTAACACCCCATATAATAAATTCGTTTCATAGTAGACGTCGATCTTTTGATATCGGGTTTAGAATTAATGGTCGAAATCGATGGTTGGTTCGTGTTGGTAATTCAGAGAACGGACAAGTCGAATGACGAGAAAGAGGAAGAAGAGGAGGTGAGGGTTATGGTGAAGGGTGAGAAGGGTGAGAAGGGAGACGGCATACGTCACAAGAGTAGGATAGATTACTCTTGCTCGTGATGCTGAAGGTATAGTAGTATGGTTCACTTGGTTGTTACTGCAGCTACTCTACTAATGCTACCACTACTACTACTACTATTGGTAGTACTGAAACTGCTTGGTGTGTGAGCATCGAGTATGGTGGTGTAGGTGCTGGTTGGTTGGTGGGTGGTGGTGGTGGTGGTTCTTCGTCGTTCTCTCGCTAACATGAAAATGGATTCTCTGGGATTCGGGCTACGGGAATTTCATTCGAACGGGAATTTGCTTTGGTGAAAGAGAATGAGAGAGAGAGAGAGAGAAAGAGATAGGTAGATAGATAGAAGATATTTTAGATTTTAATATATAGTAGAAGTATAGTAGAGTCTAATCATTTTTTATTTTTTCTAATTTTTATTCCACCTTCTTACACATCTCATTTTTTTTTTTTTCATATTTTTGAACTTGATATTTGAAATTTATTTAAAAAAATTTCAAATCAAAAAGAAAAGATAGAACAAACCGATATAAATTGATATATTAAATGAAATGTATTATTTTGATCGAATAATTGATTTATTTATCAACGTATTCATGATCACGTAGGAAATTTGCTTTGCAAAACGATATAAATAAATAATATTATAAATTTGACACAAAGAAATTGTTTCTATCATTTATTATTAATCTTCTTTTTTTTTGCTATTATTTATTATTAATTAAATTTCTTATTATCTTTTATTCACTGTTCGTATGTTCGTGTTATCCGATTAATTTGATAAATCAAGATAAATCTATTTAGAAAAATATTATTTAAAAAATAAACATTATATATATATTGAATCATCGAATATTCATAGTCACGTGGAAATTTAATCATTACGAGATTAACAAAATTTTATTAAAACATATATGTATATGTGGGGGGGGGGTTGCTTTGAAACAAGAGAGATAATCTTATCGTGGTTTTCATCATATACATATATACACACATATATATATATATATACATTGTATTGTAGTTCGTAGGACAAGAATACATATATGTATGTATTAACATGTGAGAACCACACTTCTAGTTTAATATATGTAATTTTATTATATATCCTATATATATACAGTATCTTTCAAAATGTATAATGATTTAAAAAAAAAAAAACTACAACGAATTAATGTTCAAAAATATTTTATTAAAGTAAAAAACTTATTCGTATAAATAATTCAATCATATGAATCAATTAAATATGAACACGAATTATTGAAACACCTAAAAAAATAATTTGATAATTATATTATACAAAATTTAATACAATAATTCGAGTAATATAATTATACAAACATTTTTTACTCACTCGAGTATACCAAAATCACATATGAAATTATTCTAACATATATTGAATGTTCCTGTATGTATATATTATGTATATGTAATAAAATATACATCCTTGAAGTGTTTAATTTTCATGCAAT